ACCCTCGGAGTTACAAGCTGTGCATCACTTCGACCCAAGAATTATACAACACTGTACGACAATATCATACTTTCCCCGAGTGTGTCGGCCACTGGGGTCGAAGTGACTAGGGGGTAAGGGGTCAAGGTGTCTAACTTGGGGTCGAGGTGTCTTGGGTCGAACAGGATAGGGGTCGAGGTCACTTGATTTCTAATTTTTAGTTACTGATATCGTCTGCGATTTACAAATGTTACCTCACACATGAGAGAGCATGCTGTTTCACAAAATGTTCCCATTTTGGGAATAGTTTAAAAACTCCATAACATAACATCATAACCCAAGATTGTACAATCGAAACAGAAAATCTGAAACGATTGGATTAAAATTCAAGACGGTACGATATACCTTTTTTGACTTGTACATTATTGTTACTGTCACGATAATTGTAGAGTGTGGTATTATTATTATGACACTTTTACCAGTCCTTGTATTTTCGCTCGTCTCGATCATGGCGAGACTCGAGGAGTTCTAGAAATTCAGTATTATTATTTCGAGTGTTGGGTAACCATCAGATCGTATACAAACTACGCCAGATGAACATTCAGCCAAAACAGTAAAAGGTTTACTTACTCCTGTGGAAATAGCTGAATCTCTTCGATGTCCCCGAGAAACCCGAACAACGTCTTCATTTGTTCCAACGTTGCCCCTGGAGCCACATTGGTGACTTGTATCACTTTCGTTGCACCCATGTTGGGTGTTTGTTTTTGTGGAACTCCAAATGAAAATACTTTCTTGTGTGTCCAACTTCACACAGATATCAAGATGGCTTTTTGCATTTAGTGGATCAACGTCAAATGAACGTTTAATCGTCGAACCTCATAACACAAAAAGATGATCAGGACGAAAGCTCACCTCGCACCTTCAACGCCACATCCTCGTTCGTGACATTATAATTATAAATGCGTTCACATAATACAAATATTAAAATATAGGTTAAACTCAGTATCATGAAGTTTATGATATTTAATAATCTAGTATTTATTGACATAAATAGATTTGCTATCTTACTACTCAACAAAACTTAAGTTTCCTAATTAAATTAAGTGAACGAGCCAGATTACCCAATCTGCTTTGGAATTTCCAATATGGCGGCTGTATTGAACAATTATTCTGGGAAATTGCCTCTTTTTATTCGGCCGTTGTAGTTATTTTGAAATAGTGGATCATAGCGACAGTGTCTCCCGTATCTGGTAAGTCTTATTCCTCTCTGCATCCTCATTTTTACTTAACCGATTATATACTATCGGAATACGATTTTTATGAAATTAAACAAACCCGTCGTAAGTACCGTCGGTGCGAGTGTGAAATGTGATTGACCGCGTGATTTGTTTTTGAAATTTAGGTGTCCCGAAACCCTGTTACCGTGCTACTATTTCGGCGTGATTCCTTATTATTTTTCGTACAAGTTAAGTGCACAATATGGATGATGTATTTATACTACAATTTTTGGAATCATCGTGGAAGTGTCATCCCTGTTTTTTTTAATGTGTTTCACGTTTTTTTCTTGCATCGTGGATGACCTGTGTCAATAATAATAATAAACACAACCATAGCTGTGATTTTTTTTTTACAATTTCCTGTACACAAGCCGCATATTCGATGTACTATGTAAATAGTGTAAGCTACTGTTATGATTCTGTCATTGGCAGATCGTCCACAGCATCTTTACTAGATTCTCTGATCCTAGTTTCTTGAGAAAAAAATATAATATTGAATTATAATTTATATGCAAATTTTTAGGTCAATTCGTAATATTGTTCCTTCCAATCAAATACATTAATCAGCTTTATGAATACCACTTCTAATTATTGTGGACAGGTTTTAGGTCGGCCTAAATTTGGTGTTGAACAGTATATACTATTTAGTTTCCTTTCACTTTGTCAACACGTTAATGTTTAGGCAGGGATAAAACACTGTACCGTAACAAACAACGAATGCATCACAAGTGTTAAACATGGCAGACTCCAATGTGCTATTCCTACACAGTGTTTTTTTTTTATATTTAAAATCAGTTTGATTTTAAACTTTTCAGTGGTCAGCAGATGGAAACTCAAAAACTAACAGTAGCCAGACCTGTCTCTTTTCCAACCGTAACTTAAAACAGTGAAATTATTGTATCTGTTCTCTTGGGAGTTGTTACCCCTGGTTGTTACCTTGACTATCAAACTTTACATCAAAATGTGTTATTGAATAGTTATTTACACCTCAAAATAATAGTATCTTCCATGATGTGACTGGCTGAAGAAATCATCTAGTGGTGTTAACATTGTTAACTGACTAGCAAATTTGCTTACTAATGTAATGTATTGGTGTTTGAGCGCTACGTGCGACACATGGTACATACAGGTGTTGCATAATAGGAGCCTGAAGGCAGTAAACCCTGACACCATGGGACACGTGGGTCTAATCACAGGAGAACATTGATACTCACAGAAGCCATAGCTGCTTGGGATAATTAAGATTTTTTTTTTTAAATTGTTTTTTGTGCCAGGCGACAGTTTCAGACATTGAATATCACTGTTGTCTCTCCTGACTTTTTATAATTAAGTTTGATGACAATATTCAATAATAATATCCGGATTGTATACCAGACAATATCAAGACTGTCCCAACTCGCTTATGGGGGGATGAGATGCACATGGTGGTAGGGCACTCATTACTTATTTAAAACATTTTGTTGTCCTCACTTATTCTAAGGTAGAGGGAGTTGGGGTTTCTGGTCAGTGTGCACTTCGCTAAAAAATGTATGGGCCAGTTTTTCCCCCTCTTATTTTACTACTACACAGCGCCCTCTAGTGTTTAACTGATTAAGCCTGCAAAATTTAAATACTAGTTGGCATCAAATAGACTAAAAGATTTTTTTTCATGCAAGGCCTTATATATTAACTATTTATACTATAAGCCTAGGATAAAAAAATATTAAATGGCATTATAACAATCTGATTTTCAAATAGTACATGTAGTAAAATCTACAGAGACAATGGATTAAATATATCGGTGGCAATGCCTAGTGAATGCTTATACTGTATTTGCTCCAATGTTGAAAGCTAATCTCCAATTGATTAGACTGGCTCATCCATAATAATTTTATCAAAAAGCATTCAGTGTTCTCCCCAGGCCAAAACAGCGTCGCGGGCCCTGACGCGATCGGATTTGCCTGCGACGCTATGTGTTTCCTCCGCGATGTTATTATTTATCCCGTGATCTGATTTCTTCAGTCTCTCACAGACTGTAAAGTTTCCTGGCTAACTAGTTAAATCTACAAATGCATTGTATTAACACCAATTTCCCGGGATAATCCCCTGTTGTTTCTCATTGGTTGGATATCGTTTTAAAAAAACAAAGCAGTTCTATAAAGACAAAGCCGTAAGCCCCGGTGTCAAACGCTCTTTGCAAAACGTATGTTCATATGCAAATGATATAGTCACATTTGGGGTCAAAAGCCACATGTTTCCAGTGTGTACGAAACGTATTTTCATTATTATTTTTAGAAATGTAGTCGTACTATTATTCCAAGTTTTGATTTTTGTCAGTATTTTTGATATTGTATTTGTTTTTGAGATCAAATGTGAAAAAA